TGAATTTTATTTCATTGCGAAAAAATGATTTAGGTTTCGAATTGGGGAAATGATAAAATTGAAAGAAAGAATTTGATAAAATAGAAGATTTGTCATTTCTCTTTTACTTCTTTTGGGCATATAAAATTTAAAAGGAAGTTTTCCCCAAAATTCAGTAGAACAAATAACAAATTGATCTTCAAATCTATCTTCCAAATGGTACCAATGTCTATACTTCAAACACTAAAAAATATTCAATCAAAGTCGGCGGCGTTTAAAACGAGGAAAAATCTGTTCGTACCGCCACTCCTTACACTACGGGCGGAAGGCCATTTTCACGCCGCGCGTCAGTTTTCCTTAAAGTTGAGACTTCAGTTTATTGATTTTGTTAAGAGTTCCATCTTCGAAATAATAGAGATATTTTTGTGAACGGAATGCTGAGATTTTTGAAGTCCCTGTTAAGCTGCGGTAGAACAGTACGAAAATAAGGGTAACAATCGAGCCTCTCGTATCTACTTCAGACGTCTGAAAGCATCGAGCCAGCGCTTACATCTCGTCCCTGCTTTTCCCCGCCTCTGTTCGCCGAAAATCGCGGGGCAACAAGCAAGAGTTTACCGGTTCGCTCGCAGCGAATGAATTATTTTGTCAAAATGCCGCGCGAAATAAAACCACCGCGCGCGTTCCATCGACGCTGCGAGAAACCCCGGAGAGTTTCTCGTGGGAATTTCACGGAACACCGGTGAGAAAGGATCCCCCTTTCTTCGGAATATTTCAAACGTAAGAACCGTCCCCGGCTCGAAAAGCCCGCGCAAAAGGATTTATCTCCGTTGGAATCGTGCATTTTTCTGGCCGTCTTTATTTAATAATGCCCAGCCAACTTGAATTTCAAATAATCCCTATGCTTCTCTTCCACCTCGATCTTTTTCTTTACCAAGCGCAAGAAGAGGTGGAGAAGAAGGTAATCAAGCTGGAGGACACGAGCAGAATTTCGCATTTGAGAGAGAGTTCTAAAAAGAGAAGGAGGCAGAGCATTGGTGAGGATCAAAAGAATCTTTGGAGCAAGTTAACGCTATTGGGAATTATTATATTATACAGGGCGATCCATCTCGGTTATTTTCGTTATCAGTGGACCGATCAAAATTTCTTTTTTGTGTAAATTTGATGTATACAGGAAATGTATTGTATTGAAATCGTTGAATACGTCTTAGTGCTTGCTAACTAATAGGCAAACAAAAGAAACTAATTTGTCGACCGATTAAAATTTCTTTTGAAAAAAGATCTTCAAGCTGACGATCATAAATTTGTTTTTGTCTTTTTTTTTTTGGGAAGTTTTCAAAGTTATATTCAATCTCTTTATGGACAAATTTTATTTATTTCAAAGTTATATTCAATCTCTTTATGGACAAATTTTATTTATACCAAAAATGTGTTATATTGAGGTCGTTGAATTCCTCTCAGTGGTCATTAGCCAGTAGGCAAAAAGAAACTAGGGTTGTTTAATAATTAGAGAATTCGAGCTTCAAATTGGTATACAAAAATGATCTAAATAGTAATATATTTAATAACTCAATTTCAAAAATTTGATACACTTGTTATAAGCAGCAATTTAAAAACCAGTACAATTATTCCTTCTTTGTACGTCTTCCATACAAATAATTTTTTTCAAAATTGCCCCAAATGAAGCAGGTAGAAACATTAAATACACACTCCAGCTACCATAAAAATTAAACTACCCAAAAATTCAAATCCACATTTCACCCCCAAGTATCACTCAATCTTCCACCAAAAATCCTCGAGCAAACCTTCGACAAACGGAGCAAATCACCCTTAATCAAGCCCCATTACCACCGAAAAACAACGAAAGATCAAAAAACCCAGAACTGTGTCCACTATCCGATGCATAAATCAAGCTAGCAGGAGTTCGCAACTCAGCGTTCCGACGGTCGTCGTCGCGCCGAAGATTGATCGTCCGCCTTGGCGTAGGCGTTGCGATAGATTAGCCATGGGCGGCGCGGCATATTGAAAGTATCGTAATTTTTGCGTTCCCGCCGGCCATAAATTACACGTCGGGTAGATGCACGAACGCGGAAACCATGGTAAATACACCGATCCATCGATCGATCGATTCAACTTTTCAACCCCTCGTCTACGAGATGGTGTACCAGAGATAACTAAGTAGAGTAGGTCAACGATAAGCTCGAGCAACGTTGTACCAGTAGTGGTATCTATCAGCGTGTGTCGACAGTGTCCTCTCGCTTCCTATCAAACCGTTCTTCGCGGAGTCTCTCGACGGCCATTATTTTTCTGCCACCTTTAAATAAACCTCGACTTACCGGCCCGACCCGGCGTATTTCACGTTTGTCGCACACGAGAAGAAAAGCCTCCTCCTTTCCGCCTGTCTCGAAACCTCTGGGTAGGCCTAAGGTTCGGAGTTTAGTTGGTCGGGCCACTTTTAACGGCTGACCCTAATACCGCCTTCTTTGCGGCCTCGGTACGGGCTAATGGACACGTTCAAGTTGATACATAACGGTGTTTCGGCTTCGTTCGATATCGTGTTGTCGTTGTACTACGGCCTTTAACCCTTTCGGTACTCGGGACAAGTAGAGTTGGCTCGCTGTGACACGGTCTCTGCACACTTAACGGTAACTATGGTTGTCTCAATACGAAATTAGGTAGAGTGGGTGATTAAATTGTTGGAGAAATGAAAAATATGTTTTTTCAGTTTGTGTAGAAATAAAATCAGAATATCAAGACTCTGAATTATTTTTAATTAACGATTGTTCGTTAGATATTCACATGGAAAGTTAAACTCAGCTTATGTAGCTATGAAAAATAGAGTTAGAAAGGAGCGATAAAGTTCGTAATTGGTAGGATTCCTTTGGGCATAGTTTCAATACATTTTAAGTCATTTACTGTACATTATAGGCGGTAAAAATGAAACAAAAATTCAATTGCTCAAGATCTATAAATCAATGAAACTACTCGTAC